ATATTTTTGACTTTTAATATATTCTATGTATTTCTCATGTGCTTTTATAGTCTGCATTTTAATGGCTATATGTCTTATCAAGTCTTAGTAAACAAAGAAATCTTTACTAATAAAAATCTTTCAATTCCTGGCACATATGGCATTTGTAAGGTGGCATTTTATATTTTGAGTACCCTCTGACCATCCTCTACAGATGGCATTGGGGAGAGGAGGGAGAGACTGCCAGGTGTGGCACGGGGACCTGGGTTCATGACTTCCTTTCCTATCCGGAGCCCCTGGGATTCAGGAGGGTGCAGGGCACAGCTCAGAGGGGAGCCTCCGCGGGGGTGGCCTGAGACAGGTAGCAGGTGACTTCAATCCTGTGCTTTTCTGATCAAACATACATTCTTCCTCCCCCCATGTAAAAAAGCAAGTTTTCATTTTCCTGGGGTAGTAAAAATCTTTTGTGCGAAGAAGAAGTGTCATCAAGTGCCTTATTCATCAGCATATATACTGTCTCTGTAAAATGACAGTGGGAGTAAAAGTTCATCAGTTCAATATGTCTTTCACTTTTGGAGACTCCTGACTAATAACCTCTGGTATTTATCATCAGAACAGCCAAAGAGCTAAGATCTGGCACATGCTGCTCTCGTGCACTGAAGAAAGCTTAAAAAGACAAAAGATTGTCTCCATTTTTCCTTCTTCCATTCATTTAGAAGAGAAAGCATATCTTTTTTTAATTAAAAAAAATATGAGCATGCAGAAACATCTGGCCTATATTACCATAGCACTCTCCTAACTGGCCTCCTTGTCCCCAGCCTGCCTTTTAAAATCAACTCTACACGGAGAGATTTTTCTAGAATACAGACCTGCATCAGTCACTCACCCATACTGCTGTATCTTCCTTCATGGCTCTTTGAGTTGAGTAGCCGCAGCTCCACCTGCCCCGCTTGCACCTGCCCCAGTCTCACCGAGCTGCTGGGGGCCCCTGACTCCTGCTACAGCGAAGGCCGCCTCCGGGCCTGCATGCCAATGGGCTCCCACAGCACCTGCCCAGCACTTACCACACTCACATGTAGCCCACAGTCTTGTTTTTACTTGGCCAGCATCATACATTAATTTAAAAAAAAATTAAATCTCATTAGGCAGAGCATATCATTGTTCAGTTTGCTTAAGGCCCCACCGCTCTCTATTATATACCAAATTTGCTCTTTGCTGGGTCCTATGAGGCTACTTGCTCTCTTATTTTACCCAACAGACTACAGGCTGCATGTACCAAGGTTTTGTATTAACTTTGTATCTATAGGCCTGGCAGAGACTGCTCAAAAAATAGCTATGGTATTAATCCATGCTTTTTTTAAAAAAAGCTTAAAAAGCCTCAATAACTCTTTTTAGCCTTTCTGTTCACAAACATTATAAAGCACAGGGACCTCAGTGGAGCCAGCAGATACTAGCAGTGTTCCATGGGGATGGCTGACAGTCTGTGTTTGTGATATGGCGCTGCTAAGACTGGACCACTTTGCATCTTTAAGCCTCTGAATGTGATTATGCTCATTCCCACTACTTCCTGTGCCAGGATGTCCGTATCTGTTATGATCCCTCATGAGAATTATTCTTCACATTTGTCCTAGTTTTGTCCATCGAGGCATACATGTCCTTGGTTTCATTTCATCTCCACATGACCTCCACCCTTCCATCAAACTGGGCTCTGCAGAAATTTGAATGGAATAGGATTTATCTGCTTTGTAAGGTTTGGTCATGATCCAAGTACAATCAGTAAGCTTACCACAATTTGGATCCTGCCAAGGAGTAAGTAGCCAGATCTGGACAAGCTGGCGAGGCTAGGCTGCGGTAATGGAAATATCCATTGGTCAACCACAGATGGGCCATCTTGTTGATAATCTAGTCCTTTGTCTCAGTCACTGTATTTTCCATCTCCTTATCTTTCTCTTCTAGACATTCACTTACATGCTGCTGTAAAGATACCAAAAAAGATGTGGTGTCCCACAGGACCCAGTTTACTCATATTTATGGAATTTCACATCATCAGTGACATAGGTCTGTGGTTTCTGTCTATGGCAATGTTGTCGCTGTAAATTAAATCTCCAGAAAATGGCCTGAGTTCTCAGGGAGTGCTATGGGTGTTTCAGAGGGACTATATGCCATGAGGCATCGATGAGGAAATGTGTTAGAAGCACAAGAATGGAAATATGTCCAAGTGTCAAGTTCATGGCAAATAAAAAGAAAACCCTTTTGTCTAAGCTTCCTTCCCTAGGGAAGAGGTGGGGGTAGAATAGGGAGAGCTTATTATAGAATCCTTTAGCTGCCAGAAATTTCATTGACAATTTTGTTAATGTGCCTGCTTGGCTGCCTTCTCAGAGGCCCATTGTGAATTCCTTAGCTGATAACATTAATAGTTAATGGGTGCACCTGAAAATCAAGCAATATTGTCCCATTTGGGTAATAGTTATATTAAATGGTTCTTTTCTACAGCATCAAGCTTATCAGCTTATCTTTTTCTAATAATGAATACCTCATCTTTTCCAATTTCTTAATCAAGCACTTCCATATCATCTTGAGGCAGAATCAGATCCAGCTGCAAATAGTCTTTACTCTTGGCCTGGATTATGTCAAATTATCCAACCATCTCACAGGTCCTTATGTTCTGTTCTCCCCTGAGACAAGGGCCTGACACACCCCTTCCCAAGCTCATGATCACCAGCACAAGCTAACTTTACAGTCATGAGGAAATATCTAGAATAGGTTTCTTCCTAGATTTTGGCACCATGGAGTGGGTCTCCAGGGTTTTCTTTTTCCTGTCCCTTCTCCCTGAGATGCACATGTACCTCATTCTGCATGGCCCTACATCAGAGCTGGGTCTTTCCACTGCAGGGGCAAAAAATAAATGCAGCCATGCTTTAGTGATAAAACAATAGATACTTAATTTTTCATAGGTATTATATGCTATGGATTGACCAGAAGCATCAGGCTTCCCATACATTGCCATACTTTATTTTCTTCAACCAAGTACCTGTAACAGAAAGAGGAAAATACAAGAAATAGTGAACAACCCTTGGGGAAACCCAATACTATCTCTTTCTGTCATATTTGTCTGAAACTTTGCTATTTCTGATGCCTCTGGTTAGATGAATTTTTGAGTCAGTTTTTTTTTTTTTAGCCAAAATTTGTATTTTTATACTTCAAGGCCTGATCTGCCTAGCCCTATCTCCTTCATTTGCAACTTCTTTTGATTTTAAAAAAATATATATTTTATTGATTTTACAGAGAGGAAGGGAGAGGGATAAAGAGTTAGAAACATCGATGAGAGACAAACATCGATCAGCTGCCTCTTGAACACCCCCCCCCCCCCACTGGGGATGTGCCTGCAACCAAGGTTCATGCCCTTGACCAGAATCGAATCTGGGACCCTTCAGTCCGCAGGACAACGCTCTATCCACTGAGCCAAACAGGTTAGGACTGATTTTTGATGCTCTTTTTCTTCTGAGCTTTAAAAAGACCCTCTTTTCCCACTAAAAACAGGAGAGCCCAGATTCACCACTACACATCCTTCTCCTGTAACACGGCAGGTGCCCTTTGATGTCAGAGGCCATGTTTTGTATCTGCTCAATTGCTATTACCCGCCACGGTATACAGAATAGGAGCAATACATAGCTTATAAATGAATGAATACCCAACTTCACAATTTAGGGTTGTTTAACCTCTTTTGTCCAAATTTTATTTCAACTGGGACTGTACCATCTTGAACTTCTGCAAATATTCTTAATACTAAGTTCAGTGCAATGCACACAGCTATGGCTCAGTGTTTAGTGAGAGCAAAATATGTTGTATATTTTGGAGCCCTATCACAGAGAAGCCAGAATTTGGCATGCAATATTTCAGAATCCTTGCTCATTCCAATTAGTCAAGTGAAGGAGTACATTTTTATCCTGAAGACTAACCATTGATTGAACAGATTGGTTACTATAATTACTTTCTATTGGACCTCCTGTGGTTGGAACCTCATAACATTCCAGAGATGGAAAAATATTTGGAAAACCATCTGTGTTTCTTGAAATATTGAAATTGAAACCTTCACCTTCACAGAGTGCTACTCACACAGTTCAGCAGATATCCATTATTCCCACAAACATTTATCAAACATTTCATATGTGACGTGAGTTGGAGATAAATATGAAACTGGCAAGTCTTTCAAATTGCTTATAATTTGGTAGCCAAGTACAGAAATAAAAGAGAATACAGTCTGACAAAGTCTACAATAGAAGCAGGAATAAAGAGCAGAGGTAACAGAGAGAGGGGGTAATTATCTCCGTGTAAGGGTTAGGGAAGGCTGCCTGAACGAAGTGGCTCTGAGTTGGAATTCAGCCATGACATCAGGTTTTCTTGGTTGGATGACTATCACGCCCCTGGTATGCCTGATTTATTCATTTATAAAGCAGTATCACATTGTAAGAAATAAACATTTAAAAATCAAAGATATGAAAAGCATTCACCTCCTCACTATAGCACCCAAACCCACCCCCATACACTATGGTTCGCATGATATCTGAGAAATAGCTGAATATCTACTATATTAAAGGAGTTATATATGTGCACAGAAAGCTAATAAATTTATGCTGCCAAATTTTTATGGTTTCATAAGTAGTGCTATTACTAACATTTTTAATAAGTGAAAAAAGGAATTCATATGTGCTAGTAGGAATTCAGTGTATTTTGTAGAATACTGCCACCCTTGATATAGCCTATATGGGATGTGACTTTTCGTAAAGACCCAATGAACTTCTAGATTTGTCAGCTGTTTCCAAACAGATGCACTCTGCTAATCTAATGGAAACAGTCTGAGCCCATATCCCAAATATCAATAGCTTTTAGTATTGCAAATTAGTTTGTCTATTGAGTAACTTGGACTCTGTAGTTGCTGATAAAAAGCAGCAAGTCATTTTGTAGGGATGTTTTATGTAAACTGCCCTGCCAGGATCTGATGCTCATCTCTGTCCTTACAGAGCTTTAAGCTGAATGTAGACAGTCATTGTGCTCTCAAGGAAGCTGTGGAGGAGGAAGGACACCAGCTTCTTGAGCTCATTGCATCTCACAAAGCAGGTAAATCCTCCTGAAATATGGCAAGTCTTTATGTCTCCGGACTATTAAGAATGAAGAAGCATTGCTGTAAATTACTGCATATATTCACCTCCTTATGTATTATTAATATTTACATTATCAGATTGACCTTCAGGATTTATAAATGTTTCATATACTGCACACAATGCGGTGATACTTACAAGATGAAATACTGCCTCCAAATGGTCTGTTCATTGTATTTTGGGCTCGCTGTTCGCCTGAGTTTCAGTTGAAATCACATTCCTGAAAACTTCACATTGACATGCTTTTTGATGTAGGTGCTCTGGAAATAACTTTAAGATAATGAATGAGAATTGTGCATTTAGTTATGATGCATATGCATTGAGATACTCATAGATATCATTACAGATACAAAGCTGGCAGGCTAGAGATATCTGATTATTTCCCTGCCAATTCACACACAGGAACGTCTTGCATGTTCCTTGTTGGTCATTGTGTTAGCAGAGTTTTGGCCTTATACCAGTTCTTACCCCGGTTTTAATGTATTCATGAGGAACAGATTATAAATAAAAAATAGTTTTGTCATTTGGTTGTACTTATCCTGGTCGTAAAAGACCGTAAGACAGGATGAATTACAATTTGGCTCTGGCTTTGAGCTTACCACAGCTAAATAAGAAAAGAGCAGCATTAATCGGATGTGCTAATGCTAAAGACTGCTTTCTTAATTCTGGCCCATTTACTGTATTTCTCATCGAATTAACTTTACCTATTTCCATACATCTTTCTGATCATTATTACATCTCCACACAGATACACTCAGGACCTTTTATTAGGAATGTGAAGCTATAATTAATAATTGTTATATATTGTGATCTTTGTTCCACATGCAATTTTTTAGTCCATGTACTGAATCCCAGTCAATCCCAAACAATATTGTATTACAATTTTTGTGTCCTTATGCCTTATGTCAAGTCAAAAATTCCCAGTCTCTATTCCGAGTGACAAATGCTAATATGGCAGGTGAGGGTAATGGTCATTAAAAATGACGTTTATTGTTAAACCACCTAATTTACTAAATAAAGAATAATAGGGTACAAGTGCAGTCAAGTCCGTGACTTGTGCTCTCCCCTTCCTTTGGAGAAGGACTAAAGGACATGCTGCGGATGATTGCGAGTCAGTGGAAGGAGCTGCAGAGGCAAATCAAACGGCAGCACAGCTGGATTCTCAGGGCTCTGGATACCATCAAAGCCGAGATTCTGGCCACTGATGTGTCTGTGGAGGGTGTGGAAGGGACTGGAAGCCCCAAGGTAAGTAGCTTGAAGTTTGCCTTATTTCCTCTTATTTCTGTTTTCTTTTGAACGAGGCACCACTGAAGTTTTCTCTCCAGCCCTAAGGCTTTTCTTTCCTATTGTGTACACTTTATATATCTATATATAGAGAGCGATGTATGTAAACAAAATGAAATGGCTTTAAACAGTAAAAAAAGCCCACAACTTCCAGGTTTTCTAGGAGCAGGTCTTTTTGTGGAAAGTGCCAGGGTAGGAGGAGACAGCACTTTAGGGGTAGGAGGAAGGGGGACATAAAACATTTAGTAAACAAAACATAAAGCATCTTAAACATGAATAATCAGAACGGTTTTAAATTGTTTTGTTGCAACTATAAATCACTATAATCAGTGCAATCACTCAGCTCTGACATCCATTAGCCGCTTGGTTACAGCAAATTAACAAAGAAGAGAGAAAGTGATTCATTATCTCATTCCTGTTAATGACTATCAGATGCATTGCCTAATTAGGGGATGGTCATTGTAGTGGGAAGAAGGTCATATGCTTTGCTACAAATCTTTCTGCTCTGAGTGTAAGTTCTCCATAATGGCACATGCACCGAATACAACAAGTACTTTAAAATCGAGTATTGACATGTTTTGGTTATCCATTTCAGAATTACAAAATAACTCTTCAAGCATATGCAATTAAACTTTATTTTGTTTTATTTTATTTTTATGAGGCACCTTTTAATACCATGTTCTAAAGGTATTTTTGACTCTTGATGTAGAAAGTAATTTTATTAATTTGACATTTTCATGTAATTTCTCTCTTCTTTTGTATTTGTTCTTTTGTGAAAGTAAATGCAGAAAACCAGTTTCATAACAGACTCAGCATCAGAACATATTGTAACACAGGGGAAACAGATTTAAGGGTTCAGGGTTTTATTCCTGGCATGGACAAAGTCATTAATTAAATCGTCATCCAATCATTTACTCAGCATCCATGCCGGTTGGCACTGTGCTAAATGTGTACCGGGCGAGTTAAACAAACCCTTTGCCCTCTTAGACTCTCATTCTTAAGTGCAGGCAGAGGAGAAACCCAGCCTGCCCTGAGACGGCAAGACCATTTGTCCAGTGGAAAGTTCAGACAATTTATAGCTTTGGAACCTCAAACAACAACCTTTAACTTATTTGTTGGAAACAGATAGAATGATGAGCTCAGTTCCTCTTGAAGAAGGTTCCCCGGAGGAGGTCACATTTCAGGAAATACCTGAAGAAGGAAGAGGGGTGGTGTGGCTCATGAGCACACATTTCTAGGAAGTGATGTGATGAAAGCATCGAAGCTGGAGCTAATTATCCCGCAGGGAGAGTGGAGTCTGCGGACTCCTGGGGCAGAAGGGGAGGAGCCCCTTCAGGGCACAGGCTGCAGGGAGAACTCTCGACTGGACGGATGCTTCCACTGGGCAGTGGTGAGGAGACAGGGCACAACGAAAAACTCCATTATGTTTTTAATATATTTTTATTGATTTCAGAGAGGAAGGGACAGGGAGAGAGAGAGAGAAACATCAATGATGAGAGAGAATCATTGATTGGCTGCCTCCTGCACGCCCCCTACTGGGGATCAAGCCCACAACCCGGGCATGTGCCCTTGACTGGAATCGAACTGGCACCCTTCAGTCCACAGGCCAACGCTCTATCCCACTGAGCCAAACGAGCTAGGGCAAAACTCTATTATGTTTTACTTATTTAACAAAAATATACTGAGTGCTTACTTTTTAAAAGCCTTCCGCATGCCAAACACTGTCCTATAGCACTCCTGTGCATTCTCTCGTTTAATTCTCACACAAGCCTCTAAGGTAAACCTTTTATGGAGAAAACAGAGGCCCAGAGAAGTTGAGTAACCTGCCTAAGATCACACAGGTGCTAAGTAGCAGGGCTGGGATTTGGATCGGAAGGCTTTGGCCGCAGAGTCCGTTTCCATCGCCTCCTGGAGCACTGCCTCTCGCGGGCAATGCACAGGGGAGGGCAGGGTGATGGGCCGCCTCAGTGCCGGTCTGGTGGGGCTGAGGGCGAAGTGGTGATACAGACTTAAATCGAATAACCTTGCCTTATTAGACTGTGATGTGCTGTGAGGGAAAAGGGAGCACCCAGACCTTGGGCTGGGAGCAGTGATTTTGATGAGGATACCCTGGAAGGCCTCTGTCAGAGAGACAGCCCAATGTGAGCAGGCCAGTGTGATTAGGAGAGGGAGGAGGTGCAGGGTCTGCAGAGGGCAAGGGCTTTTGGGGGGAAGGACATCACTGATTTCCAGCATAAAAAAACGTGTTCTTGGCTGTGGTGTAGAGTGCAGCGAGGGGGCGCTGAAGTGGAACTGCTGACGGAGGTGGTGCGAGCACCTAAATTTGTAAAGGACCCGGGTTGAAATGAATAGCTCTGTCCACCAGGGCCAATTTGAATCTGACACTTTAAAATTAGCTCCTTTTGGAGGGAAGTACTGAGATGGAATAAAGACGATAACCCAATGAGGAGAAAGTATGTATTATCAACAGCGAGACAATACCAGCATTTCTCAGAAAGAGGACCGCCTGCCCGGGCCCTGCCTTAGGTGGGCCAGCACCTCCTGGGCGCAGCCCCAGAATCGCCTTCCACGGCTCCTGGGAACCACCATCTCCAAAGACCTGTTCCTGCAGGGATGCCTGGTTCTCCCACAACCTGGATTTTGACACAACACGAAAGAGGTAACAATTTAAACATTAAGAGGAAAAATAAACACATCCAGTTCCTAATGATTTGGGTGCTAAACAAACAACAACAACGAAAACCTTCTCTATCTGAAATGTCCCCAGAGTGAAAGTGTCTTCCTCAAGTCAGGTCAGTTTATAAAGAATGACTCGTGTTTTTCTTGTTAATGGTATTTCTATTCCGAAGCATCTCATGTCACACTGTGTACACAGTACATCTCAAAGCGGCTATGGGGAGCGGCTGTTGTAGGTGTCACGGATGCAGGACCTGAGGGAGGTGCTGAGGACTTAAGACATGGATATGGCAGAGCCAGCAAACCCCAGGCCTGCTCCCTCCCAACTGTTTTTTTCGTCCCCAGTCTGCGCGAATTTTCTCTGGACAAGTGAACTCATCCACAGTCCAGGGAGAAGGTGAAATCAATTTTAAGACAAAGAAAATGTGTTTCTAAATTTAAGCTTAGGAAACTATGGAGAAATCAGAATGATCATTCTTTTTATTTGCTTAATGTTTATGAACCACCACCCTTAGTCCCTTAGGCAAACACAAAGAATAATAGGAGAAGCTCAGACTCTGAAGTCAGGCTGCCTGAGTTCAACCTCCCACGCTCACTAGCTATGTGTCTGTGGGAAAATGACTTACTTCCTGGTGTCTCAGTTTCCTCATTTGTAAAGTGGAGGTAATGCTAATGTCTACCTCAAAGGGTTGTGATGTACATGAAAGAGCTGACATATCTAAAGTGCTTAGAACAGTGCCCAGCACACAGCCAGTCCGGGGTAAATACAAGCCTTCATATTTAGTTGTGGAGACAACAGACAAATAATTATAATATAATCTGATCAGTGCTCTAGTAGAGGTAGGTACAAAGCTCTATGTGTACACAGAGAAGGAAATAACCAACCTGACTTGGGGGTATCAAGGATTTGCAGGAGAGTTATGTTTTAAATGGTGGCAGCGGGGGGTGTGGGGTGGGGGTGTGTGGGGGGGTGGGGACGGGTGCAAGGGGCCAGGGTGAAATGCAAGGATTCGAGGTGTAAAAAAACGTGATGTGGCTAGAACCCGGGATCCTGTGGGCGATGTTTAGGCTGTCTTTCAACAATCACCAAGGCTCACAATGTGACAAAAAATGACCCTTAATGATCAGTGATTTGAGCAATAATTCCTCCTGTATCTCTAAATGACACTAGCCAAGCCAGAGTGAGATCCCTGTACAAAATACATCAAATAGGTACTGTTTAAACAGAAATGTTTTTGCCATTCTGCACTAAATACTAGTAGAGCAAGCTTAAATCGGTTACCCTGAAGTCCTCCCAGACTGAAAGCTGGATTCCACTTGTCATCTATCATGTCAGTCCTTTTTCCATGACTGACCTTGCACAGGTCATGTATGAATTGTGCCATGAAATGCATCCTCAAGCATAGCACTTATGATCCTCTATTTCATCTTAGACCTTAAAGAGGAACTAAAATTAAAACACAATAAAAAATAACTCCAGATTCATCTTAGGTTTACTTCAGAAGCTACTGGGAACTTGAGAAGCATAATAGAAAATCTAAGGAATATATCTAGGGGGTATTTTTCTTTTTTACCTTGTTTGAGAGACTGTAGTAAAGGACTTGGTCTTAGAAATCTTGTAAAGAAGGAAGATAGGAGGAAATTCAAAGACTCTGGGAAACTTCTCCCCCAGGAATCGGCAGCATACCTTATTTGTTGTATTTCATTTTTTAAAAAAAGTGTTTCCCCAAGACTGTGAGATCTTTTATACATGGAAATAGAGAACAGAACTCACCAATTCTAGAAATAGAGCTTCAGCACTCTATCCAAGAATTGAAAATGTGCTTGTAATTGTACATTTTACTTTATATTGATGAAAGTTTATCACCTTAAACTAGGTTTTCAGTATGTTAGATTTTAAATACATGTAGACAAAGGGATTTTAAAAATCAGCGAATAACTCCTAGCAACGCCTACATGCTCTTTGTGACCTTCCAAGGAAAAAAACAAAAATCCTGAAAGCAAGAAGCTTTCTTAGATTTTGCACATTGGTTCTTTATATTGTTCTTTCCTTTCTATCTTTACTTTTCACCTGTGCAGCACACCTCATTACAGATACCTTAGAATCGAGGCCGGGATTTCCCCACATGACATCACTGAAAGTACAGGGCAGTGGTACCTTTGTCCTCTTTAAAGGAACAGATGCATTTCCAAAACAAAGACTATTTGAAAATTTTATTGTAAATTCAGAGAACTTTACAGTTACTAGAGGGTAACATAGCCTAGGTTCCAATCAACATCTTCAG